GCAGCAGTAGCAGTAGCGGTAGCAGCTAGTCATGGTTGTTGGTATTAAAGCCATGCTCATTGGCATTTGTTGTTGTTTTTGGTGCTGCTTTTGTTGTTCTTCTTGTTGCTGCTGCTGCCGCTGTTGTAGTTGTTTTTGTTGCCGCTGCTGTCGTTGTTGCAGCTGTCGTTGCTGTTACTGCTGTTGTTATTTATTTCTGTTGTTGTTGTTGNNTGCTGCTGCTGCTGCTCTGTTGCTGTTGCTGCTGCTGTTGTTCTTGTTCTGCTTCTTCTTCGTTTTCTTCTTGTCGTGTTGGTCGTCGTCGTACCTTGACCTCCGAGGATTCCTGAGCAATGGCAGCCATGCTGCTGGGAAGCTTCTGCTAGCATTCGACGGCGAAGGATTCGATCGAACGGCCGCCCGCCTCATGCGAGTGTACTGGTGTTCGAGGTTTCGGGCTGGTTTACCGCAATCCTTCGTCGGAGAGCCAGCTACAACCTATCCCACGATGGAAGCCCGTCCAGGTCTCAGGCCCCGAAGCGAAAAATGCTCCATGATTAATAACTAATGTTGAATTGCATGATGGTCATGGCTAAAGCATGTTACACCCGCAGCTGAGGTTACGAAGTTTGACTCCGGGGCCGGTGGTGCTGCGTCCAACCCCCGCCGAGCAGCACTGCGGAAGGCCTCAGAAAGCCGCTGTCGAGCCTGTGTCTTCATGTGACAACCAAACTGTGTTGATGCATTTGTCCGTCCATCGGTCCAGATGTCGAATGGCAGACAAGTGCACAAAGACTAGTGACTAGTGACTGTGCGTCACGAAAGCCCATAACATCATACATAGGACAAAGTCGATTAAAGTCGACCGTGTGTATGTCTGTCTATTTGTCTGCCTGTCAGTCTGTCCGTCTGCCTGTATGTGCGCACGCATATGTCTGTATGTATAGGTGTGCATGTATGTGGAAGATATGTATCTTATAGTAACTATAGTATGCCTATCTCTGCGTTACCTTCTTCGCTTTTGCTGCACGATGCCATATCATGTTTTGTTATGCTATGTTCTGTCAGGTCGTATTATTGCATTGTTTCGTATTCTATTTAATCTTATGTCATGTCGTCTTATGAAGCATTGCGCATCATGTTATTCCATGTGAGAATAGGTGCAGTTCGATTTGTCTGGTATTGTAGCGTATCTTAAATTACGGAGAAGCTGCACTATTCGAGAATTGTCCCGTCTTTCCATATTGATTGGCAGGATACGCACGGACATATGCGTGCTGTCGACAAGCTTCATCCATTCCGAGTCTATATGAATCCTGGGAGTTTAAGCATCCAGATCGTGCTGAGGCTTGAATGATGCGCATATGCATATTCTATCATATGTATGTATAGCTATCATATGTATGTATAGCTATCATATGTATGTATAGTATATGATAGGATTGTATGCACAACTCACTGTGTGTTCGTATGCTGTACGTTGCCAGAGACATCGGAGCCTAAGTATGTTCGCATGTAAATATTTACAGACTAGGTGCATGCATTCAATGAGAACGCGGGTGTTGTTTTACATGGTGCCCCTCTTGGACCCCGTGAGTCCGGAGGCTCTGATGGAGATCGTTAACGAGGGCCGTGGTGATGCTAGCGCGACAGAGCCAGCCCTCACCGAACGTGGGCAATCGTCGCCATCGTCACCTGCCTCCGGGGCAGACGGCCGGCCCATCGACCGCTTCGCACCCGACCTCACAGCTTTGGCCAAGGATTCGATGTGCTGAGGTTAGGGCTTTGATTCGGCGTAGGCACCCGTCGTGTCTGGTCTGCTAGATTTACGATGCACGAGGCCTGGTTCAACGGGAAGTTTGGTAGCTCAAACTGACAAGCAGTGACAAATAAAGCATACATACATACATACATACATACATACGTACATGCATACATATGTATTTCGGTTGACGACGACGAAAGCAGAAACGTGAAGTTATGACGCATGACGGTCTTTATGATGATGAGAATCATGATGAGAATGAAAAGGCTCCTGCTGAGCACTGGACTATCCGTTTTATTCGCTCATTTGTGTGTCGTCATTCCCCTACAGTATGCACGCATCAGTCCCAGTGCTTGTAGTCATGCTTGAACCGTAATCAAGGCGGCCGTCGTCTATCGTGGTGGTGCTACTGGCGATGATGTGAGCCGTTGTGGCAGCAAGAGCGCAGTAGCAGCGACGGCAGCAGCAGAAGCACCATCCATATATTCACCTAGTTGCAACACCCAGCGCAGGAGGGTCGGCTGGACCCCTTCACGGGCCGAGAGGCGCTGCTGAGCCGTGTAGAGCGAGCCCTTGGCCGGTGCCCCGGCAGAAGCGATAAGCATCGACAGTTCTGGGGATTGTGTGATAAGAGGAGGGTTGCAGACTAGCTCGTGAATGTTTAGCTGGTTTTGCGGCTATTTTTGGAACTGCTTGACTCTTCGATGTATTCTGGCATCGGTGTGTTAAACGGTTTGTGCGAAGACCTACATAACTGTTGCCGAACATCTTTCTAGGTTCGGGCAGTAGGGGCAACAAAAAGCCCATTGTCTGTTTTGCTGTTGGTACAATTTTGTGTTTCAAAATGTGTGCAATTGCAAGGAACTTGCGACGTAGAACTTGGCATTGCGATGTCGCGTAGTTTTGCCCCCGCCCCCTCCCGATCGCCGGGCCACGGCAAAAAGAAAAGCTGTTCGCTTGGATTTTCACATCAGCAGTGTCTTGTTGGAACTATCGATATCGCTACGTGCCGTAGGCATGCTTCCAGCGAATCTAGTCCGACACTTCGGGGCTTCTGCTGATTGTGCTGATGCCGTGTTTGCTGCTTGGGGTTTGCTAAGTCTTAACTCATTGATGGCAGGCGCAACTTGCGAAAGAGCTGTGAGACAGGAGTCTACATGGTTCAAGAGGGCAGTCGAAGACTTGTGCCGGAACTGCTGTATACAACCAGAGCTAGCACAGCAGTCACCAAACACGCCTGTCGCTTCAGACACTGATGTAGTCCAGCATTCAGCCGGGAGGCGGATGAAGAGGAATGTGCTCCTTGTGGGCGACCCGGGTGTTGGGAAGACTGCCGTGGCGGCTGGCTTAGATTTGGTATGGCTCCTGTCTTGGAATGCGACAGGACTGGGCAGAAACGGAGCTGAATTGCGGTGCAGACAGGTAGAAGCTTTGGCGCAGCGAATTGCAGCGGGCCGTGCCCCTACCTGGCTGGCTGGCAAGAGGCCAATTGATCGGCTGCGCTTGTATTAAAATTGGTTGCTAGTGCACGGTTGGAGCTGTCGACAAAGGGCTCGGGCTGCACTGAGTCGTGCTATGTGCATGTCCTGGTAAAATTATGTATACCCGCTGTTTAGGCGCAGCGGGCTTATGCTTCCTAAAGGAAAACCACGAAGATGCTTGTTCGCTTTGCAGGCTCAGGAGCCTGGATGTGGCACTGCTCACCGCGGGCACTCGCCTGCGGGGCGACTTCGAGGAGCGACTGCGCTTCCTCCTCGAGGACGTGGACCAAGAAGGCAGCTTTACGTGCGGCAGGAAGTTGAAGTTGACTGCATGCAAGCAAGGGTCAGTGTAGAATTGATACTTGTGTCGAAGCAGAGGAAGATGACATTCTGCCAATGCTTCCACTGTTTCGGTTGCTGCGGCTTCAGGCAGTGTCTTGTTTATCGACGAGGCCCACACGCTGATCGGAGCCGGTGCCACAGGTTCCAGCCCGCAGAACGCGGCCGACATCCTGAAACCTGTGCTGGCGCGTGGGCAGCTGCAGTGCATCGCCGCCACAACCATGGAGGAGTATTTCCAGTACTTCTCCCGCGATGCTGCCCTGGAGAGGCGCTTTGAATTGGTGGAGGTGGAGGCCCGGGTTCGGTCTGTGTGACAATCGCTGCTTGCATCAGCTTGGCGATGTCGGCAGCCCCAGCTCAGGAGCCCACTGCGCAAGAGACGGTGGTGGTCTTGGAGGGTCTCCGGAATCACTACGATGCTTGTTTTTATGAAGGCGTTGCGAAGGGGACTAGAATGAAAGGCAAGAGTAGTTGCAAGCCGAAGTCCTCTATGTTTGTTTGTACAGGATCCAAATCTTGCAAGACCACTTTTCGATGCCTTCTGAAAGGAGCGTTACCATGGGGTTCGGTGCCTTGACTGGACCAACGCGGTGCAAGGCGCTTTGAGGGAGAAGCCGTCCTGGTGTTCCTCGTTGTACTCGTAGCAGAGGTGATGGCAATACAAGCAAAAGGAAGGAAGGAGTAGGGGCGGCAGCAGCAGCGGTAGCGTCGTTTCCACGCAGGCATTGCAGCAGCGGTGTTATCGTTATAGCAGCAGCAGAGAAGAAGCCGTAGCAGCAGCAGGGTCGTTAGTCGTCGCAATTTAAAAGTGGTAGTGATCGTCGTGTTGTGTTCCTTGTCGTGACCGACCTGACCATGTGCACAAGAAATTACTCTGGGTGCGATTGTTCCTTTTGGTATACTTCCTTGGTGATGCTCGGGTGATTCCAGGGGTTTGAAGATGAGGATGGCGACTGCTAAAATCTGGGCCGTGGTGATGGTCATTGAGCATTCATGGTGATGAAGATAGTGATGAACGGGGCAAGGTTTCTGCTTGGTTTGAATAGTGATTGTAACTGTCTCGAGTCGAAGCAGTACCAGTACATTGTGCTGGGAATTTAGAACAACTATTTGATGGAGCCTTCTTGGTAATCTTGGCAATCTTGGTCAGGGGGGGTGGCAAGATTGCCAAGCAATCTTGACAATCTTGCCCCTTGCCCCGCTTGCTCGCGACCAGTCTACCTTTGGGAGACCAAGATTGCATGCAAGCTTGCTTGGCACTCTTGTCCAAATAACTGTTCTAAATACCCGGCACACTGCACCAGCACCACTGCGCATGAAAATGCGAGGCTGTTTTTGCAGCAGGATCTGTTGTCATCATGAGGTTCCAAGATGCTGCCCTCGCCTCCGCAGCACTCTGGTCGGAGCGCTACCTCCCTGAGCGCAAGCTGCCGGACAAGGCTACGCACTGCCAAGATGCTTAGGTACCCCCTTGAAGCCAAAAATGTCCGCGGTGTCCCCCTGATGCTGAGTTATTGCTTGGTCAGCTTAGTTTTGGCTTCAATTGGAAAGCTTGCCGGGATCGGTTCCGGATTGGAGGCGATTGATGTGATGGACCGCAGCGCCGTCCTGGCGAAGGGCAGAGGAGGTGGAGGTGGTACAGACAAGGCCTGTGAGGTGTCCTGTCGTGCAGGTTCGGTGCAGGAAGAAGCTGTAAGCTCTGTAAGCCGGCATGCACTTGAACTTGCTGGGCTTCGTGTCGGTTTTACGCAGCCTACCTCCCCAAGTCACCAAGTATTTCTTTGGCACTGGAAACCTTTGATATTGAGTGAGCATGCTATTCCGGTGCCGATACCTTTCGAAGTAGTTCGGTGCGTCAAGTCACCCACTCAAAAAGCCTATGCAACAGTGCTCGAGGTGTTCGTCGAGACAGAGGACGTCGCAGCTGCCCTCGAAGAGTCTGTGGGCATGAGCCCGGGGTCTGTTCCTTGCCTTACTTTGGAGCACCACTATGTCCGCGGAATTCGGCAATCTGGGCGATGCAGAAACCTGCAGTCTATCTCATAGCAAGCGTGGGATAAAGGTTTAAACGCAAGCAGATCGGCATTGTCCAACATTCAGAAATTCAGACTCTGTACACTGTACCTAGTTTCATGCAGCAGTGCCACGTGAACCCTCATTTGGAACAGCCCCGCATCTGCAAGCTGCAATTCAATGAAGGAGGGTGCCCACGCCACTAAATGCCAAGCTCCATCGGGTCTAGGCCCCTATAAGTTGTAAAGTCTGGACGTTTGTAAATGCCTCGAAGCCGCGGTGACGTAATCCGCTACTTGTAGGTGTCCGAAGTGGAAGCGCGGAGCATCCTCGACCTGGAGGCCTCGCGGGTCCCAGTCGAACCGTCTGTGGACAGTTTAGGAGCAAGCTTCGAAGTGCAAGTGCCGAAAAGTGCCTCAATGACATGCATCCTGACATACAGACGTACATGCATACATGCATACACTCGCATGTGCAAGAGAGTATACATGGACATGGCATGTACCTGCAAACGGACCCCCTGCCAGGAGGCTCTGCGAGCCCGTGTGCGTGGCCAGGAGGCTGCTGTACGTCTCGTCGCTGCAGCGGTGGCTCGGGCCCGGGTGCAGCTGCAGGCCACACCAACGGCAACACTTAGAGGTATCATAGGAATATTTATCAGAACGACCATGTTCGGGGGCCTTCGAACCTGAGATCCAGTGTGAACGGCACAGTTGAGTCTGATGAAAACACTATTGATATTATGGCTTCCATCTCGCTTGTTCGCTATGGAATTACCACAAACATCCGGTAGGTTTCGCACGACGGCTCCAGATTCGACTCAGCCCGACAGCTCGGATCGTTGTTCCTGCATGATGTGTGGTTCTAATGATGTTTCGAGTCTTCTCCCTGATAAAGAATGGACAAACATGCGGAAAGGAGCTTCACCGTCCGATCGGATCGTTGCTGCTGTACGGGCCTCCAGGCAAGATGCGACTAGTCGTGACTGTGTCGTTCTGGTGCAGATGAGAGAATACAACGGATAGTTTTCTGCAATGCATGAAAACCTCCGAAAGAATCAAGCACAAATTTTATTCGAGGTGATCGTTGCATTTAAGTGCTGGAGCCCCTCGTGCAGGTGTGGGCAAGACGTCGCTAGCAGCAGCCCTCGCGGAGGTCTCCCTCGGCTCACGCAGTGCTATGGTGAGGATCGCTACTTGTCTTGTCCATGAGTCCCACTGAAGGCACGTGATGTTTCAAGTTTCTGCGTCGGCAATCAGGTCACCCATTATAGTTAATGATAAACTCGCAGATTTGCAGCTACACCATAACAAAACCGGTGGCACCTCTACCTGGCTTGTGTCTGATTGGGATCCCTTGCACGCCGACCTTTCGGTATCGTTTCAGACGGAGTATTGGGACCGAGGCATGAAGAGTTTTTGAAGTGCTTCTGAACAGGCCCTTCAAAGGCCAACTGCGAGAACAGAACCCTGGGATAGATCCGACAGACCGTCGACCGTTGCCGAGTAAGGACTGTGCCAGTGCCTCCAGCGCTGAGGGCGCAGGACAGCAATGCGCCCCATCAAGGGAGGGGATTGCCGTGTCTGTGAGTATCTTCTATATCAGGACACAGGAGAGTTCGGGAGGTGTCCCAGAACCCTAGGCCCTAAACCCCAAAACTCATGCTTCAGCCGCTAAATGGGTTCTAGCCAACCTTTCCTGGGCGGGTGGAACAGGGCGTACAGCAACACCCCAAGCCAAAGTCACACCGCAAAAACACGCAGTGACACCACCCATGTATGTAGTATCACTGTTGAGCACAACCTGACGGTATCCCAAAATGGTATATACATGCGTGTTACAGCACTTTAAAAACCCTCGCAAGCCCATGTAATGCCCATAAAGAAGCTTCCACCTCTGAGCCATCACATAAAACATCTTATAGAAATAGACTACATGCAACCTGCAAGCCTAAAACGCCAAGCCCAGAAGCCAACAAGCCATCCGTGCAAATGATGCCCATGTAACCCATTATGATGCCGTTTCCCTCCCTCCGTCTTCACCTCCCCTCGCTCTCTCTCTCTCTCTCTCTCTCTTTCTCTCTTTCTCTGGCTCTTTCTTTCACTCGGGCTCTCGTCTATCGTCATTTTTCTTTCACTGGATAGTCAAGATGCGGCACATGTGTGCGCATACGCGGGTAAATATGTACATGTACTACAATAAACTATTGAACAGTAAGTCGATAATTACGCCGAGAAATTAATAGTTACATGTAACCTATCTACCTATCTACCTATCAGCCACTCAATGAATGAATCAATCAACCAGTCAATCTATCTATCTACCTATCGATCTAACCATCTATCTATCTATCTATTTATCTATCTATCTATCTATCTATCTATCTGCATATTTGGTTGAATCCATTTAAGCATCTGTCTGTGTGCATGTACATATACGTATATACATCCACACACACGCACATGTTTGTGCGCGTGTCCGTGTTGCGGGCACATGCGTACGCACATGCAAATTATAGCAAACTGATGCAAACTGTATATGGTATATCCACCAATCGCCATCTATCTATCCATCTATCTACCTACCTGTCTATCTGTTCGTCTATCCATCCATACATCTATCTTTCTCTTTTTTTTTCGTTCGTTCTTTCCTTTGTTCTGTATATATATATATACATACATACATACATACATACATACATACATATATATATATATTAATTGTGACATTTGTAACTTTGCCTGCACATGCTCAGCAAACATACATGTACATCGCACGGGGCATAGACCGATCGATACATGTGTAGATGGACGGATGGATGGAAGTGCAAACATAACCACCGGTACCGGTACCGTGTATTGCACGCAGGCTCACAGACATGTTGACATGCCAACACCTCCTCATCGGCCTAAATGTTAAGATTCGCAATGTCAATTTTTTCTTAAGGAAGGAAGTGATCAACCAGGGGTCTACATGACACTTAGAAGCCCCTGGCCTGTAGAAGCCTTGCTTCCAGGAGCCGCTTTGGTCAAGGGCGTCCGCAGGCGACCCCACTCCGTGGCAGCTTGGGCTGGACGTTGGACAAATCTCGATCGTGCCAAAAGCATGTCCAAAAATCTTTGGGGCTCTTTTCAGGTATCGACCCTTGGCCTGACGGTGGAGCAAAGCCAAACATGTGCATGGCCCGAGTATGCCGAGGTCTTGATCGATGAGGCGGACAAAGCACAGCCCGAGTTCCTCGGGTTGCTCCTGGAAGTACTGGAGGAGCAGAGAAGAAACCTTCTTAGCCAAAGGGTACGGTCTTGTTGTGTGAGTGAGCAGATACATATATCTGTATGGGCATGAGTTGCATGGGCATTTGCGGAAGCACTAGCATGAGCGAATGCACGGAGCGCTGGGATGGTTTGGGCACTTCTTGGCTTGCAGGGACCGACAGAAGCATTCGTTGACAACAAGCTGCAGTTTCGTTGAGTTTGCAGCCTCCCCGATAGATGCTCGTTTTGTTGTATCTGGGCTTGCCTTGCCTCGCATGGGCAGGAAGCCTCTCTGACGTTGCCCGGTGTGGAGGGTGTTGGTCGAGCAGATTTTCGACATACCGTACCTCGTTTGCAACCTTGCGCGCTGTGCGAGTTTCATCGTGATGCCCGGTGCGAAGAGACTGTGCTGTACTCATTGTTTGCTCCAGCATTGAACTGATAAACTGATCAACTCCCTGTGTAGTAGAAGCCATAAAGTTGGAACGTTGTAGTCCTCATGCCCTCAAGGTAGAGTATAAGGGATCCCAGGACTAGTCATCCTAAACCCATGTTCGAACTTTCTGGGGTTCCCTGTACATTTCATCGTTAGTGTAATCGGTAACAGTGCACAGTGAGTCAATTCATGCATCATCACAGTTGTTACAGTAATGGAAGGCCCCCTCAGCCTGCACCTTTTTTGGTCATGTGCAAGTGGCCAAAACCACGAGTGGTGACCCATCTCCTACAGTTTCAGCAAAAGCTAAACCCTCCCCACGCACATGATGTGGAAGGCAAACCTGCTCGAAAGGCACCCGAGCGAATCCCGGTACCTAGACGAGACGGTAATGAACTTGTCACAAGTCCATCTTTGCAACTATATGAGTGCACGTAATTGTCTCCAACTGCCTGCAATTGAGGTCATCATCCTCACATCAAATGACCCGGCGGGGCCCTCCTCGCTGCCACGGGCCCTGGCCGATCGCCTCGATGGCTGGGCTTGCATGAGGCCATGCCATAAATCACTGAGGGTAGATTCCCCCCCCCGCCCCCCGTTTGCCATGATTTAGGCCGGGTTTCTCGCTTTGTGGGAGTCGCTTTCCGTGGGCGGGATTCCGAATGTGAGGTCGCTCACTTCGGAGACGCTCCGGGAGGCTGGTCTCGGGACTCGGCGGAGCGATGCACTGAGATCTCCACGCTAGCGAAGGTCTTCGATGGCTTGGTGGAAGACTTTCAGGGCCGACTGCAGCGTAGCTACCCCATGGCGTACATCGAGCCCAGCGATCGCTGGCGTGAAGAAGTCCTGGCGAAAATCGGCAGGGATCTCAGCATTGACTTCTGAGAATTGCAACGGTGAAGGCACCTTTTTGGCTTGGCCGGCTTGCCCTCTAGAGCTCTACATACATTCAAGCTGTATTCAACCAGGTTGCATAGCGATTCTGCGCATCGGGTTTGCAGTGCTATTCAGCTTGTTAGCACAAGGCTTCTCCGCAAGACTGCCAGATTTTTTTCAAAGGCTGGAACAACTAAGTGAAGTTTTAACGTTGCTAAGCCGGCTAAGCATAGACATCCCACTATTGTTCGTGCTCGTGGATTCGGCACTTTCATGGCTGCCGGTCGTGTGCGGCGCCTGGCGGCACAGCTTGAAGCGCGGCCAGTCGCAGGCATGGCTAAATCATTTGTTTGAGACGCACGCGAGGCACCACCTAAGCACGAAACGATGAAGCTTGCAAGGAGAGCTTGCGCCGCTCGCCGGCAAGGCCACTGCATCCCTCTTACGCACGTCGCCGTCTCCCATCTCTCCACAAGCGGCACCCGCTTCGTGCAGGTTGCCATCGTCACCGGCGCCTCCTCTGGCGTCGGAGCCGCGCTCTCGCGGCGCTTGGCTGAACGTGGCTGCGGTGTGGTAGGGGTCCCCAGTGCCCAGCGACCAGGCTTCGTGCCTTTTTACCCACATCCAACGCAAGCTCTCACCACCAAGGTTGTAAATTTCTCCAAAAGTGCAGATGACGCGGCAAAGGTTGCCGAGGCACGCTGAGCAGCGCCAATTCCGCTTCCAGCACTGGCACTCAGCTGACAGGGCTGTGCAGCCAGCGGCGCTCAGGCACGAGCAGGGAACTTCATCGGGACGGCATTCTGGCAGTTCATGGTCGCTTTTGCTTGTGGTGCTGACAACTTGACTTGTTCAGGTGCTCCTATGCCAAGCGGACGTTGCCACTGATGCCGGTTGTGAGAAGCTCGTGGCAGAAACAGCGAGGGCCTCTGTTGAATTGGCTTCCACAGTCCCGGCAGTAGTGTGTGGAAAGTGCTGAGACAGGTCAAGAGATTTGGGCGAGTTGACTTTTTGGTGAAGCTTGGCCGTAATGAGGCTTCAGCAAAGCTCTCGAACATGTTGGTCTATGATGTCTGGCCTCTAAGGAACAATGCCGGTACAACGAAGTTTGTTCACCATGGCGACTTGGAAGGTCTAAACTCTGCTGATTTCCGACGCATCTACGAACCTCAGCTTGTTCAGACCAAGTTCATCATTGCAGCGTTTCTGCTGTGACGTATCCATCGCAGTCTTCAAGCCAGGACCTGAATGCCATCGGTGCCTTCAACATGATCCGATTGTGTGCTCCACACATGAGGAAGGCCATACTGCTGTCGTGTTTGGCAGCAAAGCGCCCTGCGTGTGTGCGGGTGTGGCCTTGGTAGCCACTGCCGCATTGGCGAGGCTGGAGGAGGTCGCGTCGTCAACGTCTCCTCAGTAGCCGGAGCTTACCACACCGCTCCCTGCTTGCATGGCTGGCATAGTGTGTCTATTCGCAGTCGCCTTGTGCAAGTTAGCTGTCGAAGTCGAGCAGTGGAGTTTAGGTTGGCAGCTCTGTCGCCTATCTGATGCGAGTTTGCAATTGAAGCACCCGCAGCATGCCACCACCACAGACTCGCTGTGTGCCCATGCCTTCGCTAAGGATGTCAAAGGCTGCACTGAACGCTCTGACTGCGGACCAGTCCCCAGCAAAGGGATTCAGCATGTTCCTGAAGCATGAAGTTGTGTAGAGTTGTGTAGAATTTCTAGAGACTCTGAGGTCATGGCGAAGGTCCTCGGGCCGGAGATCGTCGTGAACGCGGTTTGCCCGGGCTTCATTGAAGGCCGATGGCTTCGAGAAGGCGAGAGCACAAGTTCGCCGCACAGTACCATGGACATCCGAGCAATCTACTCAAACTTGCGACCTGCAGGTATATAGGGTGCGTACTTGCGGTGCTAGTGTTGAGATGGTTCGACATGGGCTAGCTTAGGGCTTTCGGAGCATCTTTCAGGCATGGGTCCTGATCTTTACGACTACGTCAAAGACCGTCTGGAAACCAGCATCCCCATGAAGGCCGTGGCAACCCCGGCTGCTCGTCATGATAATGGTCGACACCCACACGGTCTGTACTTCTTCCAACCTTGCAATGGTGCTGTGTGAGGACAAAGTAGCGGCGACAATTCTCATGCTTCTGGAGGCTCTGACACATGTTTTTCGAGAGGGATGCTTCATTGGCTAATGCGCGAGATAGCGTCCTCCAACATCTGGCAAGAAGTACTGCTTTTTGCCTCACGGCAACACGGTCATGACACTCCTGGCTCAGGCAAGCGAGACCCAAATCACGGGACAGTGCATCGTTTGTGATGGCGGAATGGGGCTCATGAGGGGCCCCAGCTGATCTGGATTAAAGCATGCTGGCAGAGAAAAAGATGCGACAGCTTGCATGTACTTCGGGTCATACCGGCCTACCACGGCTTCCCCCCAGGCATGTCGCAGAAAGGAGGGTGGGATAGAGAGAGAGAGGGGGTTCGACCCGCCCCCTACAAGAAGAGAGAGAGGGAGAGAGAGAGAGAGAGGCAGATGAGGCTCGGGGGATTATAGTGTTCATTATAGGGGGGATATCAGAGTTGCAAAGACGCGAGCCTCATCTCATGTAGACAGCGAACCAACCAAAACCAGCAGGGCGCGCTCGCGCGCAGGAGGCAGCAATTGCTTTCTCCTTGACTGTGTGGAAGAAGAAGAAGAGAGTGCTAAATAGTCGCTTTAGCGCCGTTCCTACCCTGACGAAAGAAAGAAAGAGTGAGCGAGCGAGAGCGAGAAACAACAAAAGGGAGAAGAGAGATACAGCGACAGAAGAGACCAATGGGATGAGCAAGAGCGCCGGTGGCGGGGGTTGCTGCTGCTCTCCACTTTAGCCGTTCGACACGATACATTCGGTTCTGCAACAGTTTATGGTAGCACACCGAGGAGAGGAGGATCCCGCCGGTAGCTTCGGCGCTCGCTCGCTTCGCCGGGTGCTGCGGCGTGCCCCATCTTCGACGATTCCACCACCATGTCGGTGTTAGGATTCACTTCTGTGTTCATGGCAAGTGCGACAAAACGTGATCTTTACTAGGGCAGTTATCATTATGCCAGTATGGTGACGACCATCATTATCATCAGTGTCGGTAGCTTTGGTAGCACTATAGCACTGTTAGCACTATTGCACATGTACATGTATACGTAGGTAAGTACTTGGCTCTCGCTCCATCTCTCTCTCTCTGTCTCTCTCTCTCTCTCTCTCTCTCTCTCTCTCTCTTGCTTTGTCTCCATGTACGTATACATATAGTGACATATATATATATGTATAGGTATATGTATATATATATATACACACATATAGATAGGGGCCCATGCATAGAGGTAGCTCTAGATATAGAGCTAGATTTTGACATGGTATTGGTATGGATACACACATAGGTATAGACAGGAATACATGGGTGGATGGATGGCTATGCCGTGGATCCGATTCCATATTGCAGTGTGTTAACTGTTGCATGGGTACTATGTTCTATATGCATAAAGGCAGTGGCAATCCTAAGCTTCACGCAAACATTCACAAGCCCATAACATTCTGTAGCCCACGCACACACTGCACATGCACATCTCTCTCTCTCTCTCTCTCTCTACCGAAACATATACATATATATATATATATGTATACACACACACACACACCCGCATGCATGTTGTTGCATCATAGTTTCCGTTTGTTTATGTGTTACTTTCCGATTCTATGGTGTGTGCGCAGATGTGTACCCGTGAAGATTTGATTTTATGTTGGTGTACATTGCTATGTGTGGCTGTTTGGTCCCGGCAGCGGATGAAGTTCCACCAAGCACTATTCTACTCCTTTATTTGGGGTGAAAGCTAGCTCCCGTGCCCGAGCACAAGGTTCGCTGGAAGATCCTGTCGCCTATGCCATCCTGAACTACAAGGCTTCGGTTTACATAGGAAGTTTTAGCTTCAGGACTTCTGGGTATATCAGATTTCAGGCTTTCCTGTCTTTAGGGACTCAGGTCTCGGCATATTGCAGTGAGTAGTGACACGTTGAAGACAAACCGGGATGGCAGGCTTGGGTTAGATGTCGGAGTGCGGGAGGGGCAGCTGTTTTCTAGTAGCGCAATGAGCTGCTGCATGCTTGATCGTGGTTCCGCGCCGTGTCTCCGTCGTGTGCTTGCAGAGTTTGCTGACATAACTTGAGGCTCACGAAGCCAAACCTTTCCGAAGAGCTGCTCGGATCGGACCGTGTGGTCACATCAGTTTAATGTTTGCGTGATTGTCACCCGCCCACTGTGCCATCCAGACTTGCAGTGTAGACACACAGTCCGTCGGATTTACTGCTGAAGCAACTGGCTTTGGCACAGTGCATCCCTTATCAGTTGCATTTCGCATGCCGAGGTTGTGGTGGATTCGAGTACCTCTGGCGAAACCGTAGTGTCAGTCAGCGCTGATTGACACAACCATGTGATCATCGTTGATGCTTCCTACTGAATTTTGCATCTAAAACAGTGTGTTGCATGAATCTGTACCTGTGTGTATATCCTCAAACCTTAGAAAATAGACGTAGTATGTATTTATGTCTGTATGTATGTGTTAATGCATGTACGTATGTATGTATGTATGTATGTATGCATGTATGTACGTATACACTAATGCGTTGCTCTGATTCTGCTGCTATTCGCCGAAAACCTGGCGCTGGCAACGGACAGAGCAGTTGCAGCGCGGTCATTACAGACGAAGTTTTCCTGCATTAGCCCCACAGTTTTTCCAACATTCGCCACGCAGCGATGAGAAAAGGCGTTATATCATGTTGACTCCTTTGGTGAGAGCTTCTGCTGCTTGCAGCATGCGGTTCATGCATATTTGTGTTTCCTGGTGAACGTGCCCGAGGCTATGTACCGTTTCATTGAAGCTTCATTTGTTGTCAAGCAGCTTGAGCCTTCGAATACATGTCGCAGCAGGCTGTCCACGCATAGACTTTATGACGTAAAGTAAGCCACATGTTCAGCTTTCAGCACAGCCCGACCACCATTGCAACACCATACTTGGGGGCATTGCACTTCAGCTCTTCCTCAGCCTTGGCGCTGACAACGGATGTCAGAGAAGTTGTAGCCAGGTGTCCGTGAGTCTGCAAAACCATTCATCCCGAGCCAAGTGCCGCGTGCCTGCCATCATGGCAGTCCGATCCCCAGCTGTGTCTGTAGCTTTCTCATGTCATCAACTTTTCGCGGGTTTCGTGCTGGAGCGTCGTATCATCTGAATCTGAATCTGTTTTACATTTCATGACTTCAGACTAGTGCTATAGCATCTTATGCCTCTTCACTCTTCACTGTACAAGCTTCCATCTTAGTCTGTGGATATGATCTTGTTGTATCTCAAACTAGGTATGTGGAAACGGTTACCAAGGCTGCTGCCAGAGTGCCTGTGCATTCATTTAGAAAATTTTCACAGGTTCAGCGGATGACGCGATCATGCATGCTAGTCGCTTTGTTACGCAGCACAGACCCCGAGCCCATCCATACAGGCCGCAAAGACCAGAGATGACCATAGAAGACATATGCAAAAAACATGCACAAACATTGATGCCAGAATTATGGAAGCAAGTTGCTGGGTGTGTTGGTTGTTTACATTATGATGTGCGGGCCGACATGCCTGTCTGTCCATCTGCCTCCTAGTTTGCTTATACATCTAGACACTGCCTGTCTGTCTGTCAGGTCGCTTGTGAAGCTAGCTTGCTGGAATTTGTTTTCGCCTGTTTGCCTCGTCACAAAGATCTCCTGCACCTACGTAGACATGTGGATTTAAAGCCTATGTAAAACTACGTATATGTATATATATATATAGACACGCACACAATCATAAACAGATACATATACAACACATTAGTATGCACACACTTATGTATGTATGCATGCATCCATGCATGCCTGCATGCATGCCTGCGTGCATGCATATATGTGTCTGTGTGTGTATATATATTATGTATATATATATACATATATATATATATGTATGTGCGTTGATGCATACATACATATATGCATGCATGCATACATACATACATACGTATACCTTTATATATATATGTGTGTGTATATATATGCATATATATATATATGTGTGTGTATATGCATATGTATAAGTACATGTATATGTATATGTATATGTACACACATGTGTACACATACTTTCGTTCTGTATCTCCCTCTGCAGCTCCGTCATTGTATCTCACTCTGCCTCCCGCTCTCTCTCTGTCTTTTTCTCTGTCTGCCCCTCTCTAACACCGAATTTCTGTCTTTCCTTGCGTGACTTTCTGTCTCTGTCCCTCGCTCCCTTCCTGTCTCCGCATACCCTGTATGTGCCTATACGCTTTTTCTCCTTTGCATGCACGTGGAACCTTGTAAGAGACATGTGTGAGTATACACACTCACAGGTAGCTTGGCCAATGTGCTGTTGCTTGTGGGTTAGCTAAGCTCTTACTTGTTTGTGCCCTCCCTGTTATTTCTCGTGCGTTTCTGTACACCAGCTTTGACTACCTGTCAATTATGCATGTTTCATGTACAGCATGTCTGCAATTATGTTTGCACATAAGACGGATAGACAGATGGACGGATGAACACAGAATGTTTGATAGATGGATAGTTAAGCATGCAAGCAAATAGTTCCATCTACAGGAACGATTAGGAACATAGAAGGACGGACCGCAGAAATACACACGATCGCATCCGCTTGCTTCCCCATCGCAGCTATAGAACAAACCATGCTAAGCATGCTGTCTGCCAGGGTCAGAAAAGGAAGAACTGCCTCCAATATGCGTGTGTTACAGCAGACCGTGCGAAGCGATGCGAAGCACAGGTCACAGGCGTTGTGCAGCGCACCAGTATATGTGAACTGAAGGCTGTAGTGCAAGCGCCATGTCTCTCCGCCCGGCGCTCTACGCCTCCACCGGTCCGGCAGCCCGGACAGGGTCTTCGCGCACCCCGAATCGGCAGCTCCGGGAAGCTTGGCAGCAGCCAAGCAGAGGTCAAATCAGATTCATGACGCCGAAGAACTATACAGCAATTACTCATGTGCTGTCGCAGGCTGATCTTTCGTGGATTCCGCTTGGTAGCTCCGACCATAGCGCTATCCCTGATGTGAGAACCCTAGATGCAAACAGTCTCGACGAGGATGCTTGGCTCAGACACCGCAGGAGTGTGGGCCAGCAGAGCCAGGCGATGTGTTTGGTGAGGGTGTTTGCTGTTTGAGCATGTCGTGATTGGAACGCACAAGCCCTTCTATTGTAACCCTGTGTGGGGTCTACTGGGCCAACACCGGAATCCAAAGGAACCCGGTCCTGAAACACTGTTGCTGACCAATCAAAAGTGAAGGCTCAACGCTCGCGAAGTAAGCCAGCTAAAGACACATGCATGCATGCATGCATACCTATTGCGCAGATGCACGTAATGGTATGTATAAATAGCGATCCTGCGATGTCCGGTTCAACAGTCGCTGAGTCGCTGCAACAGTTGGTCCAGTTTCGGCCGGCGGACGTTTCGCGTTTGACTCTGTAGCAGATAGGAAATCTGGGCGTTGTCCTCCGTTCAAAACAGCGTATGCGTTTAACATAGATTCGCGCAGGGGGGCCAGTTCTTGGTAGGTATGTATGTTAAGCATGAGTATTGATTTATGAACACCTTGCACAATTAGACTGTATTGCGGACGATGGACCTCGGTCGGGTGAGAACTCCGGGAGTGAAGTACACCCTTGTGGTCGGGCGTGTATGCATATGTATATATGCATATATGCATATATGCATATATGTATATATGTATGTATGTATGTATGTATGTATGTATGTATGTATGTATATATATACATACACATATATATATATGTATTTTAAGAATTATGTGTATATATATATATTCTTTTTTCATATACATACATATAGTTACATTATATATGTATCCACGCACGCATATGCTATACTTGTGTGGAAATATCCGGAGCCTTCCGCAGCAAACTCTCCAGAGGCGGGCAAGATTCCTTTGGCGTCGATCTCCCTGGGTCTCGGTGGCCTCCTCGCCGGGGCGCGTGCCCGGCATTTCTCGAAGACCAGCTCTGGGCCTTGGCTCCGTCGATCAGGGGCTCTAGGCCTCCGGGCGCCTCTCTGCCGGGCTTTGGCTACCGAGACCTTGGCTACGAAGGTTTTGGCAGAGGGTCCGGAAATCCGCACCCCACCAGGGGATCCGCGCTCGTACCGAGTGCTGCAGCTGGAGAACGGGCTTCAAGTATTGCTGGCATCAGACCCCAGCGCAAGCACGTCGGCAGCTGCGTTGACAGTGCACTGTGGGACGTTCCAGGATCCCCAAGACCGACTTGGATTGGCCCACTTCCACGAGCATATGCTGTTCCTGGGCACCGAAAAATTCCCCAAGGAAGACGAGTACAGCAAGTATCTTAGTGAGCATGGCGGTGACAGCAATGCCTTCACCATGTCCGAGTACACTACGTACTACTTCAAGGCGCCGTGGGTCAGAATGTGGAGTCTAAGTCTAGTCAAGTGTTCGTCGATGAGTCAACCGTTTTCGATGAGAGGCAGCGGGATAGGCAGACTGAGGCCGTGACGAGTGCGTCTAATTCTCATGACTATGTTCCTTGCAACCTGTTATGGTATGCATCCCCAAATCAGATCCTGTCCGTCCTTGTCATGCCGAGGTAGCTTCGCCCTTCTTGGACGAAGCCTTGGATCGTTTCGCGCAGTTTTTCATCAGTCCGACCTTCGACCCATCCGGCATTGAGAGGGAGATGAAGGCGCTGCAGATTTAGGTCTCAGGGTCTATTTCCGGGTTTTGGGTTTGGGATTCAGGATTTGGAGGGATGCTTGGCTTTTGATGTCTGCATGCACCAAGTCCCACAGAATCTGCAGTTTCTTGTGTTGCCCCTGCCACAGGCGGTGGACTCCGAGAGCACCAACTACTCCACCGAGGACGGTTGGCGACTTCTCCAGGCGGCTTAGCTCAAAGGGCTTCGAGCAGACTTCGAAGCGAGACTAAGAGACCTTCTGCAGCTCTCCAGAGACTCGATGTCCTCTGGGCTGTACGCCTCTCTAGCAAGTCGTGTGGCCCATGGCCTCCAGAACTCCAGGCTCCAGTCTTGGGTCTGCGGGTTGCATGGAGAAAGCTCGCAGGTTTTAAAGGCCACCGCCGCCCCGGAGCATCCCTTCTTCAGTGACTTTTGCCGCACTCAGCTTTGTCGTTTACCCTACCAGCTGTCGCCCGTGAAACAGGGTTTAGTGGTGGATGGTCGTGAAAGACCCCGCCGCCTATTGGAGCCAGTACGCGTATCTTTCAACAAGTTGTCCAGGGTCGTTTGGATCCGCCTTGATGGCTGCGAGTCCGGAACGGCTTCAGCCGGCTGTCGGAATCACACCCAGCAAGCATTCCAGGTGGCTCCGGTTTGTGTAGGCCGAAGCACGATGTGACACCTCGATGCTTGTCGGGTTCGGTTTATTGTTGAAGCCCGCTGACGTCCCTTTGCCTGCTGGCTGAATCTACAGGCTTTGACGTGGGCAATCTGGACACACTGGGATCGAACGACTTGGACAACACTCGGAAGCAGTTGGTGGAGTGGAACAAGACTCACTACCAAGCCGGACGTTTGGCAAGCACTTTGTATAGTTCCCTTTGCCACCGGACCAACGCTCCGTCCTAGCATGTCCTGGCTGAAGCCTTGGGCACTTTGAGATTTGCTTGAAGCATGTTATTAGGTGGGTACCTGAATTTGCGAGCTCATTTTGCGATCTCTGCTGTGAGCCTGCTGAAACTCAGGTGCGATGAAGCTTGTGGTCGTGGGAAGCGACAGCTTGGATACACTGCAGCCACCCGGCCCTGATCTTATTCACTTGACGGACAACAAAGAATGCTTGTGGCTTCTGCAAGATATGATTACTTCTAGTAGAGAGACATCTGCCAGCGATTCCAAGCATGTTGACCACTTGTGTGAGCATTTATCGTGCTTCCGTGGAATTGCTGCCATGATCGGGTTGTCGTGCCAGCTCGTCAGGGAGATTTACACGCTACACGTGGATCAGCAGATGCCAGAGCATTCTACACAGACCAACAGAGCCCTAACATAAACCCAGGCATCGACCGAAGGACCTGGACCTGCCTTAAGAGCTCAGCTTGAAACAATTATTATTTGTCTCTGAAACCTACAGCATCGCAAGGGAGTTGGCAACCGAGAAGTTCTGCAGCGTTCCCGCGGGCAGCGGCCGAGAGATGGTCTATCCGGTCAAGCCCTGGCCGTCAAGCCAGGCTGGATTTCGCGGTGTGTGGTCCGGAACTGGGGCCTCAGCTTGTTTGGGGGTTCAGAGTTTACAAGGCTTGGTGCTCTAGGAGTGTTCGCCGAGAGGTACGAAGAGTCGAGAGTCTGCATTAGTTCCACGGCGGTCCGCCTCGTCCGGTTCCCATATCTCCCGATGAAAAGTCTTTTTTCACTAAACCGAGTTAAATACAATTCTTTACATTAGTTTAACAAGTTAGATAGACGAACCCACACACACACACACGCACATATGTACATGTGTGTATATATATATATACATGAATACACATGGTAATGTATAGGTATGTAAATGTACGCGCGTGTATGATATTTTGACAAGTCAGGACCAGTCGTTCAAGACAACACTCCAAACGCAGGCTGCTGTGTCAGCCCCCGAAGCCTTTGCGAGCCTGTGAGCCTCAGCTCTGCCATCAGGTGGGTCGCGTCGTGAAGTGCGTGCCGCTGAAGGACCAACCCTAAACCCTACATCTGAAGCTGCAAGCCGAAAGCCCTATTGGGGTTGCTGGATTTTACGGGCCTCGGTTTTCGGTGGCCTGTAGGTTTGGTGTTGAATGTGTGCTTTATGTTAGGAGCTGGTAAACGCACTGGTATGACTGTTAGTTGTTCAAGAACCTAGGGACCGACATGGACTTCAAACCCAGAGTTCGCAGCTTGGTTGCCTCAAGGACTCTCGGTCGATCTCGGCTTGCTGGCCACTTCCACCCGTGCAGAAGTACCTGCGCCTGGGCTCCACTGTCCCCCCGACTGCTCGATACTCCCCAGTAGTTAATGACGACATAAGAAGCCCAGTTGGGACCATGAAAAGCACAGCTTGGACGAGTGCCTAGCCCTGCGGGGCAAGCCACCGCGCAGAAAATGTCGCCGTATGTCGGCTTTTGTTAGCCGCAAGCCGTAAGCATCGCACCATCTCTCTTTCAGTCTTGCTGTGATCATCATCAGTGCGAGTAAGATTCCGTTATTTGTGATTTGTGCAGTCACCGGCTGGTTGTTGGCTCAGGTTTGCAAAGCCGGAGCTCTACTTGGCGCACCTCCTTGGCCACGAGGGTGCCGGCTCCCTTCACGATGCCCTCAACCAGCATCTGGGCTTTGAGCTTGGTGCGGAAGGTTCTGGCAAAGTAAAGCATAAGCGGAGCCGTAAATTTGGAAACAAAGAGGTCTTCAACTTCAACTGATGGGTTGAGGTTCTGGAATGCCGCGACCTGCATTAAGACTTTATTTCGCCCCGGCTCGGCCAAGACGGTGGTTTGATGATTCTGTTACACCGAGTTCAGTAGGAGCGATCCGAATCAACGAGTTCTTCACCAAGTCTTTGGGCCAGCAGAGGTGTTCAGCATGCCTGGATTACCTAAGGTTCGGCTGGGTCGACCAGCTGTCTTCTGGCACCGCCCATTCGCCGCCTGACCGGCCGAAAAAGCTTTTTCAGGCAAGTCAGTTTATGTGAAGGTCCCCCCAGACAAAATCGGTGTGAGAGAAGTAGACGAGACCTTGAGTCGAATAGTAGATCACATCTGCAACCACGAATCTGCAGGTATCATGCTTGAGTTTAGCCCAGGTTCACCGATGAGCAGCTTTTTGCCATCAACATCACGCTGACTCCTGAGGCAACTCTTCCGCTTGGTTTTGGGCGCGAAGCGGGGTAGGGGGGGGGGGGGTTCTGCACCCCGCGGACAAACGTTAGGGAATGCAGACCCTCACGCAACTTGCAACCTCCTCTCGTTGTTTCATCACCATCATCACCAGCTAATCGCCTCATCATAATCGTTTGCCGTTATCAGCATCAGCATCTTCGCACCATCCGCCGCCAGAATCACCATCTAAATCCTAGCCAACGTCATCGATTATCCCGTTGTTATCACCATCATTAAGCATCATCGTCATCATCGTTGGAGCTCGTCACACTTTCCTTCTTGCTCTGCAACTCCGTAACTGACAGAATTATTGCCGCCATCGTCTCTCCAGTGTAAGCTTCACCTTAGTCCGCAGACGTGGTGGTCATGGTCGCAGTAGAAGTATGAGCAGCACAGTCGCCAGCCACCACTGCCGTTTTCGTCGTCTCATCGCGTCGTCCAAGCAAGCCTTCCAATGAGGGCGACGCACACCGGGAGGAGGTCTTGGCTTTGCTGTTCGAGTGCCCGTGGTACACGCTTGAATCCTGCATTCTGCCTCCTTGTATGCTTTCTGGCACGACACGGCGGTTTCCTGCACCATGTCAGTGTCGTTGGGCAGTGCTTGCCAAGAGGTACGTCGAGACCATCCGATCAGCCGGGCCGAAGGAGGACCGTCGGGACGGGACTACATCGAGTTCTGCAGTCTGACGGTGCAAGATTCTCGGAAGGAGATTTTCAAGGAGCTCGCCTCTCTTCAAGAGATTGGCTTCGCTCACAAGGAGGACGGAATGTTGGTTCATTCCGACTGTCAAAGGACCTGTGCAGACCCGAGGCAATGACTGGCGGCTAGGTAAGGATCCTGTATCCGCACCCTTCAGCTTAAACCACAAAGTTCTCCGACGCGAAGCAGGGATTCACCTTGCAGGACTCCCCGCTGCCAGATGACTTTGCAGCCTCTGCAGCCATGGCCCTGCACAGGCAAAAGGGTTGTAGCAATGATTGCTGTCGTCTTAGCAGTTCCCATACATAGGTGGACACGGTTTCCACCGAAGTAGCGGTCGAGTGTTAGTTATGACGAGGATCACTGAGTTGATTATGATGACAGGCTCCACTGCTCCAGGGTCCCATCGAAGCCATGCTTTCAGGTCGAGGAATCGTTGATTGAGTTCTTGCAGTCACCTACCACGTGTGGGGTTGTATGAACAGTGAGGCAGGTTTCACTAAGGCCGAGTGGCTTGTTATGCTGGTTCAACGGGTGCAGGCCAGTTTAGGTTTGTCACCACGGAAAACTGCAACAAGCTCTGTGGACCCAGCTAGGCTGATGGCTCACATGGCCTCTGCATCCCAAGATAGCTTCTAGATCTTGCGTCGTTGTGCCATTCTGCCCGGGCAGGTACCCTGCAAATGAAGTGCTGCGAGGACCGTTTGCTCTGGATGAGTGGCGATCGGATGTCGTTGCCGAGTATTTGTCACTGGGACGAAATCTTGACGCCCTGCCCGTGCAGGCCAATTTGATTCGGCAAGGGGTATTTGTAAGAAGCGTTGGAGAGGCTGACACCGTGCGGTGGTTGCCAATGTGTGTCCAGGTCCAAGAGGATCTCTTGCTTGCTTTGACAGGGCTCCCAGCTTCTCTCCCTCAACCATCGGCAACCCTACTCGCATGAGGGTTTGATGGAGATGAGCTGACTTAAGGTCAACCCTCACTCCGACGAACTGCCTCATCATGGTCACCAGTGACGGCTTCAGGGAAGAGAGCACAGCCCAGAGTGCCAGTGATCAGGCGCACAGTGCCTACATTGACAACCATGTAACACATATCTTTACAGTCTGGATGTGAGAACCGGAAGAAACACACAGACACACAAAGAACACACAGACAGACAGACAGAGAGAGAGAGAGAGAGAGAGACGGATAGGCGGATAGATGCAGAGATATCGTCGATAGACAGACGGGCAGACAAATAGACAGAACGATCGACAGGTAGGCAGGTAGGCAGTTGTATTATATATAGAAAGATATTTAATTTAGACGGATAGATAGATGGACAGAGTGAAAAGTAGGTAGATAAGCAGATAGGTAGGTAGATAGGTAGACAGATGGGTAGGTGTATGGATAGATGGATGGATGGAAGAGTGGACGGATGGCTGGATGGATGGATGGGCGGATGGATGGATGGATGGATGGATGGATGGATGGATGGAGGGATGGATGGACGGACGGATGCATGGATGCATGGATAGATAGATATGTTGACTGATTGATTGCTTGGTGGATGGATGGATGCATTGACTGATTGTCGTGATTGACTGATGTAGCTATAGGCAATGAGATATATCGAGTTTCTGTACTTGCCGTATCTGCAGACACCTTGAACTCCTGCCAGCAGAATTCCGCATCTTTTGTCTGTGCAGGGCTGGAAGCCGGAGGAGTGGTACAAGGCCTCTCGACGCTGGCGAAAACTCAGATTGCTTGTCTACATACACATGAGATCATGTGAGCATGTGCTTGCGTAAACGCACAGGGTAGTGATGTCTACGTTGCCAAGCCATAGCATTCATGTGAACATCGCACTGCAAGCAATCGGATAGGAAATGATATGCCATGGTGGAGATCCAACATAACTAGGGACCGCTTCCACATTGACAAAGTCTTGCCCATGACTCTGCGGCAAGAGTTGCATCTAATTGCGTCTCGGCGAAAAAGGCCTACTACAAGTTGGAGGCCCTGGACAAGGATCACTTGGATCAGTGGCGGGAAAAGCTGGAAGTGGCTCTCCAGGGCCAGCCCTCGGGTCTGAAACTTCCCGAACCCAACCGCCTCCTGGCACCAACAGGCATAGTGAAGATGAAAGGATGGCAGAGGGCCAGACTTCCAGCTTTCCTTTGGGTCCCGAGGCTTCATCCCAAACGACTTCTCCCTGCGTGCTTCGGACGGCGAGGGTGCAGAGGTCACAAAGCTCCCCATGGAGGTCCTGCCCCCGAACCCGCTGATGGACAGCGGCATGCTCCGGCTGTGGCACAAGGCGCGGAGAGCATCTGCGAGCTTGCGTGGCCTGAATCCATACCATCCCGTAAATGAGAATTACACGGTGCTGGAAGCAGCGGTTTTCAGGTGGACAAGGCGTTCAAGACGCCTCGAGAGTACGTTCTGGCGCACGTGCACACCGCTGCCTACGATGCTGGGCCTGAGGTCGTGACAATGATGAGACTGCTGCCTGCCGGGTAAGTGTAGACAAACAAATCAGACAATAATATTGCATGGATGTACGTGGGTATGTACGTAAGTCAATGTAAGTATGTTTGCATCAATATACTCTATATATATATATGTATATATGTGTATATATATATATACATACACTGCAAGACCGTGCCTCCGTGGCGTCGGGACCTTTGTAAGTAGGGTCCGGCACAGCACTGAAGCGCTTTGCCTCAACGGCTTCCAAACTCCCTTCGGCCTGTTGCAGCTGGTCGAGGTTTTGCAGCGTGGTCAGCGATGACCTGAACACTTTCTCCTACGATGCAAGCGTGGCTGGCCTGGGCTACAACTTGGAGTTTGCAGAGCCGTGGCATGTACTCCAGTAAACGCGTTCGTGGATGGATTGGGGCTCCTTCACCCGAAGTCCTCTTCTTTCATGACTCCTTGCATCCATAACGCTCCACGCCTCTTGCTTCACGGCTCCCCATGCAAGGACAACTTGACGATGTCAGTCGGTGGCTTTAACGACAAACTCCCGGACCTTTTGAAGGCCAATTGGTCCAACTCAGCCCATGGCTGCGTCTGAATTAAGCTCATCTCAGCTCTCACTGCTCACTTAAGCTTAAGCAGGAACCTCTATAGCTTCGGTCGCAGAACTGCTTTGTGGCGAGGTCGTCGTGGGGCGCATTGCCACACTCCTGGAAGAGATCGAGACTATCGCTGAGGCTGCCCTCCAATCCAACCCACATGTCGTCAGCGAAACCCTATCTAATGAATCCTCAAGCACACTGAGCCAAACCATCTCCACTCAGCAAAGCCTTCTACGAGAGGCCCTGAACCCTAATGCCCTACGAGCATCCGGAGCCCAAAGCCCTAAAGCCGTTCTGGCAGACGCAATTAGAGTTACGGGAACTCTTGATCCAGAGCCTTTGGATAAAGCTCAGAGGCCGTGAAGGGCGCAAGCAGCGAGGAGGAGCTGCTCGCAGCTCTTGGGGACCGGGGCCAGGAGCGAGAGGTACTAGTATCATGTTTTGAGGATTCATAAGGGGGTTTACAGGGGTTTTATGTAAGAGTTGTATAGGGTATCATTGTATGGGTTACGGGGCTTTGAGCCCTGGCTTTGTTTGGGGTTCCTCGGGTTCGGGCCTTGAGGGATTTAGGGGGGTTTCTGGTTCTTTGGGAGCAGGGTTGGAGTTTGGACTTGGTTGGCGCTGGTTGAGCTTTTGGGAAGTTCTGCAGTTTGGGCTGTCCGACCCCCTCCTACTATCAGTTAATGACTGTTACTCGGATAGAAAAAGCGTCACACAGTCGTCCATCGATAAAAGTAGCAGCAGTGTAACAAATTGGTGGTAGTAATCATAGTAATGTAGTGGCAGCAACTAGCAACAGCAAATACAATCATACTCATAGGAGAACCGCAGCTCGAGGTTTCCCCATAAGGCATCATCATGGTGATGGCTGTCAGGCTTCGGTGTTTGGCGTTGGGGCGCATAACATAGAGCTGTGAGGCTCCAGAGCCCCGGGGCTTTGACAAGGATGGGGGCTCTGAAGTGCCAGGGTGTGTCGAGTTCAGGGTTGTTGGGGGTTCAGGGTTGGGTTTTGGGGGTGTAAGCATGAGAAGCCCCTCTTTCAACAAGTTCAACCTGCCTGAAATGTTGATGCAGTGAAACAGTTCGCTGTTTCGTGATAGGTGCTGCATGAAACGGAGCTCGGAAAGTGCCACTCAGTAGCCGAAGCAGGAGCTGCTGGAAAAGCTGGAGGTTCAGCGACAGATCCTTCTCCAAGACTACAAGAACTTCACTCGCGAGGCAAGCAGAAAAGATCGGTCTTCATCATGTTCGGTGCAGCCGCACTGCACCCGCCTTGCTGTGCTGAGGACCCTTGGTCTGTTGGCAACTACTACTTGTCGCAGCTGACGATGCGTAAGTCTTGGCATTTGTCGGAGTACATCGAGGTGGGGCAGCAGCAACCTGACATGAGAGTCCCATGAGAACAGGCGAGAGCGCACTCCATGTCAGTGTCAGTGGCGAGGTGTTGGAAAGAGGACCAGATCTCGCTGCAACTGCAGCAGCCGTCCGCACGGCCTTCAGTCATGTCCAGGCAGGTTCCTGTTCTTGGCCAGATCGCCTTAGTTTCACTGGCCCTCAATCGTAGCGGATGTGGTTTTGCGCCGACTGATCGCAGACACTGGGAGATGGGCGATCAAGATTCAAAGCGCCTGACGTGCTGTTAGGTGGACATGCTCGTGCATGGCAATGCGACGGCGGAAGAGGCCAAGAGTGTAGCTGCCCCCCGGCTTTCATCAATGGTCAGAACAGTGTTGAATTGAATTGTCTGGCCGGGACCACATTAAAGGAAGCCCCAACCAGACGTCCAACTGGTGGGCTGGACATGTGGGAACGTTTTCAAACGTTTTCCAATAAGATCAGAAGTGCCCACAAAAGGGGACACACACACACACACGCACACACGCGTCTCCACTTCGAGACGGAAAGCGAGAGGACTATCGAATTCGAAGCAGTTGAGACTTGTAAGCCGATTTTGCGAACTGCACCGGTTTCGGTCAGAAGTCTGGAATGTTCGAGGTCGTGGTATGCAGCTCTGCAGTATATGCTGGAGAGTGGCAGGACTTTTCTAGGTTCAACTCTCCGCAATCCATTTGCATGCCAAGCACTCTTTCAGGGTCCGCTAAACTTACCGAGGACACGGTTTGCGCCTCGCTAAAACGCCTGGGCGCCGAGCCCCTGAAGGAGTTGAGGAAGAAGGCCAGGGGTATCGGTCCATCTCGTGCATACTTACAAGGATCTCTCGGGACTTCTGGCGCACACAAGAGCACTCTTGAGCGTGTGTGTGTTTGTGTAAACCAGCTCGCTGTACCCATTCAAGCCCTCGCCATCTTGACACCTATGACGCGCGCCTATGATCTGGTGGACTATTGGCATGTGGGCAGTAGTCGGACCTAAGACGAATTTTCCATGCTCTGCAGTCTGATGCTGTTTCCGTTTGCAAGCCGGCTGCATTGCATCTCCCGCTGCGCAGGAGATCACGCAGCTGCCTCTGAATTCTACCACCGTCTTCGAGTACGACCTTGCTGCCCTCAACCCTGCGCAGGAGAATTGCAGCACGCAGGTTGTCTACCAGGTGCTGCGTAGTTTGAGAGGTCCGGCTCGAGAGAGGTCATGCAGTACTAAGCACAAAACAGCACAAAAGTGCCCCGCAGTTAAGAGCTGCTCCTGGAGCAGATCCCAAAAGTGTGTTGCAGCCACGCACATGCGTGCGTACCTGAGGGTAGTGACGGTTGAGACATTTGAAGATGTGAAGCGGAGGTAGTAGCAGAACCAAAATCAAATCTGCATCCTCCAGCCATGCAGTGCTCCAGCCTTCCGGCGGAGGGAAGAAGAGAGGCTGCACAGCTGGACATGTATTTGCATGCATGGTCGCGCAAACGACTTCTGCAGTTGGTTAACGGATCCTGGAACGTCAAAATCGGCCTTGTGCATGTCTTAACGTGTTTGTCCATTCAACTAGACTATCCATGTACAACTTTAAGCATTTAATGAATTTAATGACTTGTTCGTTTCAATCGTGGATTGATTTACTGTTCGCACCGTAATGTGTCACAGCCACTACCCCTCCACCGGGCAAGTTGGTTTGTTGTGACCCATGAGTTCAAGTTCATTTCCTACACAACCTTTGCTATGGAATGAAATGTAGGTCTTCGGACAGTACAGAATTCACATGGAAAGTTGAATCTGCATCTGACGAGTCCTTCCAGGTGGGTCCAACCAACGAGGACTTGAGCCGCGATGCCTGCGTCTCCCTTGTCTGCCGGATAGCCCACGTCTCGGCATTCCAGAGGCTGCGCACGGAGCTGCAGCTGGGGTGCTCCGGCTATATGTTGTTCAGTGCGGAGTCTGTGGAAGAGCAGAGTTATTTGTGAGTCTACGACCAACAGGCATGGTTTGCCCAGAGCGACATTCTTGTGGGACGTACCTCCCTGCTTTGGTGAACTGAGTCCCGGACCTTCGTTTGCACGTTTGGCTTCACTCAGGTACATTGTGCAAGCTTTTCCGTGGGTGAACGAGCACATCTGCGGATTTTCAGTGCTGGTGGCTTCGTCCGCATAGGAGACGCTAAAGGTCTTCATCGATTCTATGTCCTGGATACTGACGCTGGGTGCATTGACAAGGGCCGGGGCAGCTGGTTCAGGACCTGTTCAATCCTGGTGCGGACCTGTATCTGGAGCTTATCGTTCGATCAGTACAGGTGTGTCCAAGCAGGAACACGAGTTGACGACATTTGAGGACTTGTTGAATTGGTTGAAATTCACAGTTACACATCGCACACATTGCTTGAGCCGCAGCTGACACGAAGTTGTAGTTGCTGCCTGCTGTGCACAAACACGAACAGTAGTGGCCGCATTGTTGCCATGATGCTCGGCGTTCTCAAATTCGATTATTCTGTAGAATATCTGGAGGAGGACAGGTGCACCCTTACAGAGACCCACATGTATTTAGAGCTTGGACAGTGCCGGTGCCATTTAACTTCGGAGACTTCAACACACACACACACATCAAAGCATCGCTGTGTATTGTAGGAGGCTCTCTGAACACGCTTCCAGCAAGTAGCATACACGACCTCGTGTGGCCCGTGCGTGACCTCGATGATGTCCAGGCCCCCAGATCTGCGTCTGCTGGTGCTGTAGACAACATTTACTGCCTCTCGCACAGGGCATGCCCAGGTACGGTACCGGCATCATTGCTTTCTCTTCATACATGTCTGGTCTTAACACGTGCGAGGCCTCAACTACATAACTCGCACATCTTCAGAGCTCAGAACCGCGTAGGAGTCTACATCTGCAAGTCCTTTCCGTGCCTGCCTGGAAGCTCAGGTTCAGGGCCCCCACGAGCATCCCCAGAAAGTGGACGAGCTCATTGAAACCTGGCTCGAGGACTTCGGTCAGGAGCTCGAGGAGCCTGGGGAGGGGGTGGCTTCGGGGAGGAGGGAGTAGGATCCACCCGAGTCTGAGTCTTTTCACGCTAGCCGGTCGTCCCTTCCGACCTCGCTGCGTGCACGAAGCTTGCAGGCCATGACAGAGGAGGATTTCCAAAAGAACGTGGAGGCCAAGCGTGACTTTTTGGGAGTTACAATTCGTCTAGGACTCGAGGATTCGTCGCAACTGCTTGAGGGCCTTGAGTGCCCAATGTTAATACTCACAGCGAGTCCGACGACCAGGACTGCCGGAATCAGTACCAATCGGATGCCGAGAGAATGTTTGGACCAGGAAAACTCGCTTGCAGGCACTGGTCAACGAGAGGACTCAGCGATACTCCCGCCTTCTGCAGGAGGCCGGGAAGACTATTGCAGCAGATGTGGTTCCTACTTGGGGCCCATGCTGCTTTGTTTGCTGAGTTCCTAGCAGCGTTTTCAACTGGCTTGCACGTACCTGTCTCGAGTAAGTAGCTGCAGCACAAGCAGCAGCAGTTTAAGGAGCAGGGGTACAGTAGTCCGAGCAGCGTCGCAGCAGGAGAAGGAGCAGGAGTCGGATCCGGAGCAGGAGTCGTAGTCGTAGTCGTAGGTGGTGAGGACAGTGCTAGCGGTATTGGTAGTGGCAGCGATAGCGGTTCCGGCAGTAGTAGTAGTAGTAGTAGTAGTAGTAGTAGTAGCAGTCTTACTAGTAGTCGTGGTCGTCGTCGTTTGTAGTAGTAGTAGTAGTAGTAGTAGTAGTAGTGGTAGTAGTAGTCGTCTTAGTAGTAGTCTTAGCAGTAGTAGTAGTCGTCGTCGTAGTAGTAGTAGTAGTAGCAGGAGAAGAAGAAGTAGTAGTAGTAGTAGCAGGAGGAGGAGTAGAAGTAGTAGTAGTAGTAGTAGTAGTACTAGTACTAGTAGTAGTAGCAGTACAAGAAGAAGACGAAGTAGTAGTAGTAGTAGTAGTAGTGGTGGTGGTAGTAGTAGTAGTAGTAGTCCTAGTAGTAGGAGTAGTAGTAGTAGTAGTAGTAGTAGGAGTAGTAGGAGTAGTCGTAGTAGTAGTAGGAGTAGTCGTAGTAGTAGTAGTAGTAGTAGTAGGAGTAGGAGTAGTTAGTAGGAGTAGTCGTAGTAGTAGTAGGAGTAGTCGTAGTAGTCGTCGTAGTAGTAGTAGTAGCAGCAGCAGCAGCAGCAGCAGTAGTAGTAGTGGGAGGAGCAGCAGCAGCAGTAGCGGTACGCACGCATCTTTCTAAATCCCTGGCATGCAGCCCCCAGAACGCTCCAACTTGCCTGACGAATCGTGACATCTGCAGCTGCAAGGTCGAAGCGAACGAAGACCGGCGGTACCAGGCCGGCCTTTTGGCTGCTTGGTTTGGTTTAGGGTTTAGGGTTTAGGGGTTTAGGGGTTTAGGGGTTTAAGGGTTTAGGGGTGGGGTTTAAGGGTTTAGGGGTTTAGGGGTTTAGGGTTTAAGGTGTAGGGGCCTTGAGGATCAAGGGTTCGGGGGCCTTGAGGTCCCAGGGTCTTAAGGGTTAAGGCGTTGTGGTTCAGGGCTGAGGATCAACAATCAGCATAATCAGAGTAGGGTTGTGGGCCTTGGGGGTTCGGGCGTTACGATTGATGGCCTAGGATTAAGAATTAGATCAGAATTTTGTGGTTATTAGGATTTTGTGGTTCTTATACAAGAATGGCTACCCTACCGAACCCTCAAGAAGTAGCACTTAACCCTATAAACTAAACCCTATAAACCCTAAACTCTAAACCCTAAATCCTAAACCCTGAACCATACATCATACATCCTAAACCCTAATTGTACTCTCCATAATGGAGGCTCCGACCTCGGCATCGCTTTGGCAGCTCATGTGGATCGCTTGCTCCGTGGATTGCATCAGTGGCCCGAACATGATAGGCCTGAACAGGGATCTAAGTAGGTTCATACCTTAATTTAATGGTTTCATAAGGGTTCCTGATGAGGTTCCTAGGTTTTCCTTCGTAATCGTTTCAAGATAAGGTAACGGCTTTATAAAGGTTGGGGGATACGGTAGGCAATAAATGTGTCGGAAAAATCTTAGTGCACGGGGGATAGGACAGGTACCTATAGGTTGTTTTAAGGGTTGCATAGAGTCTACTACTAAAAGCAAGTTGGATCGTTTTCGCCATCTCTTTTCGTCAGAGAGGATTCGCTAACCATGCAACCGTCCGGAAAAGGCGGCGCTGTCACTGCTTTTCGCATTTTCGTGCTTTAACAAGGCCTTCGGCCGATGTCACTACCTGCAGCAGCCTGCCAACAGGCACATAGTACTCCATGCGCATGAGTTGTTCATCGGCTTACTTCACTCTGACTCCATGTGACGTTTACAATAGCTTTTGGCATGTCGGTTTGGCTGTCGGTAGCAGTGTCCAAACATGGTGTACCAAGCATGTCATCATGTGTAAGACAAGACAACTTCTCCCATCACTTGCTACTACTACACTCCTCTTGCCACTGTTGCCGCTGGCCTTCCTGCTGGTCCTACTGTTGCTTTGAGTTGTTGTCTTGCCAGCATCATATTCGACTTACGTGCGCAACTGATTCTGCAAGCTGGCCGCTGGCCTGTTGAATGTAACGTTGATGAACCAGCCCACATCGTCGTCTCCGAGAAGAGACCAGGCTGGGGGGTCCACTTCTTCAACTTCCAGGCCCTCGCAGTGCGGCTGCCTCGACGCAGGGATCTTTGAAACTTGTATGGGAGTTTCCGAAAATTGGGTACTTTATTTTGGGGTCCTTGTTGTAAGGATCCTACTATTTGGGGTACTATATTTGGGTCCCCTTTTTTCGGAAACTCCCGTATTGCGCCGACGACCAGCCTCCCATGTGCAGAAAACCTGGCAACCTCCCGACTCGACCCAGCCAACTTTATCCCAAACCCACTGTCATGTGGAACAAACCCGAGGGTTCCTGAACTACCAAAATTACGGGTATAGGGTTACATACTGTATGGTTGGTACAACCTACAGGGAAAGGCACCTGGCACAAAGGAGACAGGAAAGGGGCGCCGCTTCCGCCGAGGGTGTCTCACACACGCTGCGACCAACATCCCAGGTGCCTGTCGTGTCCAGTATCCTAGGGAAAATAAAGGTTAATCTTCGGGAGAATATGGAGATTATAATACACCCAGAAAAGGTGAAAGAATACCTACTCTACTACCAGGTGGTTCCTTCCGTCACCCGAGGCCGCCAAGAAACCGTGCATCAGCGATTACATGTGGCAAGAACAGTAAATACTCGAGGTTTGAAGGAATTAAAACTCTTATGCCTCGGCTTGTGGAACGCCCGAGCCAGCCTTCAACTCGCCTCACACTTTTGCAGAAACCAAGCTCCCAAGTTAAAACAGGCTCGGTAAGGTAGCTTCTCTCATCTGGGGCGCGCAAGAAGAGAACACCGCAAAGGCTCCAGCTTCAACTCCCAATTTACCAGGCGCAAACTCAAAACCAGCCAAAACCGGAGGCTTGAGTGATGTCGGGATTAGACCTGCGTTACCCCACAAAGCCACTATATGTAATGAAGTGAAGCCCTGGCCCTAAAACCCTGAACTCAACTCCCACCCCGTTTCACTCAGGATCCGACCCCAACTACGTCCTGAACCTTCGTCCGAGGCCCTTTTAAAATAGGGTTTAGGGTTTTAGGGTTTAGGGTTTTGGGGTTTGGGGTTTTAGGGTTTTGGGTTTTAGGGTTTAGGGTTTCGGATTTTAAGGTTTAGGGTTTTTTTTAGGGTAATTTTAACCCCCCTAAACCCCAAAAATCCCTAAACACCTCTAAAGCCCTGAGCCCGTATGTAGAGCCCTCAAGCCCTAGAAGCCCTACACCCTAAACCCCGAAATCCCTACACCCCGAAGCCCTAAACCCCGAAATCCCTAAACAATGAAGCCCTGAACCCCCTCAAGGCCCAGGGGCAATTCCACAAAACGCACATGCAGGGTGTATAGGCATCCTTGCCTCAGTGCACTCAGCTTAGGGATTATGTAGGGGCCTTAATAATTAGAACAGGCTTTGGGGTATATTATACGATAACTATAATGAGGAGCCCCAAAATAGTAAGGTAATCAGGCCACTATATTAGGGTTGAGCGTTTAGGGCCTTTAAGCGGTTTATGGTTTTGAGGCTTCTCGCAACTGAAGCAGGTCTCTGATTTTTATGGTTAGGACTTTACGTCTGGAGGGTTTAGTGCTTTGGGGGTAAAGGGCATCTAGCCGTTTACCTCATGCCATGCCTAGTAGGAGTAATCGTAAAGATCATGCTCTCGACTCAAGAATTATGCCATGGGTTGCGTTGCCTCGGTGCTCTTGTAGTAGACATCACTTGGGTCCTTTCTAGTCAGAATCGGGTTTTGGGGTATAGCATAGCATAGCAAAGCTGAAGTAAGCAACCCTCAGGCATAAGATGGCCAAATCATGCCGACCCCTTCAGGAGCCCTTTTTAAACCCTTAAAAGGAGCCCGGGCCCTGACTCCCTCCTCCCTTACCTTTGACTTTGCCGGCCCCCCAAACCTCCCTAAAGCCCTAAACCCTGTAACCAAAAAAAAACCCAAAACCTTAAACCCCTAAGCCCTAAACCCTGTAACCAAACTGAATGCACTTTTTAGGCTTCT